ACGACCACCTCATGTGATCAACGGCAGGTAAGAAGGCAGAAAACGACTACCTCATGTGATCAACGGCAGGTAAGAAGGCAGACAATGGCTACCTCATGTGATCAACGGCAGGTAAGAAGGCAGACAACGGCTACATCATGTAATCAACGGCAGGTAAGAAGGCAGACAACGGCTACATCATGTAATCAACGGCAGGTAAGAAGGCAGACAACGGCTACCTCATGTGATCAACGGCAGGTAAGAATGCAGACAACGGCCACCTCATGTGATCAACCGCAGGTAAGAAGGCAGACAACGGCTACCTCATGTGATCAACGGCAGGTAATAAGGCAGACAACGGCTACTTTATGTGATCAACGGCAGGTAAGAAGGCAGACAACGGCTACCTCATGTGATCAATGACAGGTAAGAATGCAGACAACGGCCACCTCATGTGATCAACCGCAGGTAAGAAGGCAGACAACGGCTACCTCATGTGATCAACGGCAGGTAATAAGGCAAACAACGGCTACCTCATGTGATCAACGGCAGGTAAGAAGGCAGACAACGGCTACCTCATTTGATCAACGGCAGGTAAGAAGGCAGACAACGGCTACCTCATGTGATCAACGGCAGGTAAGAAGGCAGACAACGACTACCTCATGTGATCAACGGCAGGTAAGAAGGCAGACAACGGCTACCTCATGTGATCAACGGCAGGTAAGAAGGCAGACAACGGCTAACTCATGTGATCAACGGCAGGTAAGAAGGCAGACAACGGCTACCTCATGTGATCAACGGCAGGTAAGAAGGCAGACAACAGCTACCTCATGTGATCAACGGCAGGTAAGAAGGCAGACAACAGCTACCTCATGTGATCAACGGCAGGTAAGAAGGCAGACAACAGCTACCTCATGTGATCAACGGCAGGTAAGAAGGCAGACAACAGCTACCTCATGTGATCAACGGCAGGTAAGAAGGCAGACAACAGCTACCTCATGTGATCAACGGCAGGTAAGAAGGCAGACAACAGCTACCTCATGTGATCAACGGCAGGTAAGAAGGCAGACAATGACTACCTCATGTGATCAACGGCAGGTAAGAAGGCAGAAAACAGCTACGTCATGTGATCAACGGCAGGTAAGAAGGCAGACAACGGCTACCTCATGTGATCAACGGCAGGTAAGAAGACAGACAACGGCTACCTCATGTGATCAACGGCAGGTAATAAGGCAGACAACGGCTACCTCATGTGATCAACGGCAGGTAAGAAGGCAGACAACGACCACCTCATGTGATCAACGGCAGGTAATAAGGCAGACAACGGCTACCTCATGTGATCAACGGCAG